ATACTTCAAGATGCTAACCTGGCCCTCAATGAACTTATTCAGATTTCTGTGACTTCAGCTACCGCATCTGTTCTTTTTAACAGGTAATTGAATTTTCTACTTTTTATCGGCGTACTTTTTACTTTTATTTTGTGTATTGATACGGTGTCACTGCATTTCACCTTTTACTGACAATGAGCATGAGTCTCCTTTGCTGACACTTCCAAATTTATGGCCTCTCGTTGGTGTGTCTATCGTATCGCCAATGCTCATTACTCCATTCGTTTCTGAACCCCTCAATACCTTTATTTATGATTAGAATTGGAAAATGAAGGATAGAGCGCTATAACAAAATAAAATTGATCGCTCCGAGTGAATATTCTTCAGGTTATCATGTGTAGCCCGACCCACTGTTATGTTGATACAAGCGTTTTGGCACGTCACTGGCAGTACAGATATACATATGGTGGAAGTGATAGTATGGATGAGCGCGCCTCCTTGAAGGTAAAATCCGAATTGGATTTCATGAAGAAGTTATAAGAAGGTTTAGAAAACACCTCGCCTTTTTTTAAAATTATGTAGTACATGCTACAATCGTATTCTCAAAAATCAGTTTCACATAGATTAGCTGTCTATCGGAATTTTGAGTATTTTTGAAGGGTTGTACTTCGTAAGCAATGCTCTCAGCAGTATCTTCGAATCAGATAATTCACTTTTGCCTTTGACAATTCCTACTACTATTTGTAGTGCTGCGGTATGATAAGATTCTTGGGTCCTGAGTAAGCCTGAGACAGTAATTTGACAATTGAAAGCTCACTTTCTAACCTCCTTAATGTGTTGTCAAGTTTTATTCGATTTATTCCATGAGTGTGGGTATTCCAACTGAGTGCTTCAGATTGGTAGTGAGCTAATCCGGAACTCTTATTTTTTACTCAATGCTTATATTCTCAACATTCCAGATGAGGGTTTGAACACTCCTGCTGTATCAAGGTTACAATGCAGGTCCAACCGTGAACCGCGCTAATTTCCGCAAGAATGTAGGAATGATTTTATCTTCACATTTGCGTGGTTCAGCGCATCAATTTCGATACTCACTCGTCCTTCAAGACCTTCAAGACCTAATTGATCTCAGCTATAGTCAGACAAGGAGAACCGGCCACACCGCCACTGTAAGCTCGAGCAGCTCGAGCACAGAAGAAGCACTGTGTGGGTAGCTATTCCGACCTCACTGTAGCTGGCGGACTTTCACTAGAATGGAGCTTGATGGCATAGTTCACGAAAATTTTTTGTGTATTTGGTTCTGGACGAATAAGCGACTCGGAGAGAGCAGAAGGGGCAAAGAAAACGGAAATCTGCATGTTCTGAGAAAAACAGAGCTTCGAAAAAGAGACCCTTAAGCTCGCTACGCCAAAAAGTGCATGGAAGGGTTCTGGCAAGTTGTCCAAATGTGCGTGGTCCATTGCGTAGAGCTAACGACAAGCTGTCTGCCTGCAGCGTGTGCGTCCCTATTCTGAATGGTGCAAACTCTGCAGCCTGTACGAGCCTTGATAAATCGTTCGCCTCGGATGTGTACTACTGGGTAGTTTTCGACCCTACAGTGTTTCTTGTGCTATCCATGGAGGTCACAGGTCCAAACTAGGAACAACTGTATTGTACATTACCCTGAAACGATAACACAGTTAAGTTTGAGTCGAAGCTTGGTGTGGGAGGGAGAGGGGACAGTGAACAAGGAGAAGGGTGAGGAAGTTCATAGTATTTTAGAAACCAAACCAATGAAGGGAATTTTCAAGTAACCCCTACACTTTTGTGCCCAAAAATTTCGTATCGTTACCGCGGTGACAACGACAGTACCTATGCTGCTCAATGATTCAAATGAGAATGATGTCAAAGGACCTCTCACCTGAATCATTGAGCAGCGGTTCTATCATTGGGTAGAGGGTCTTTAATTGCAATACAGCCTTGAAGAACAAGGTTGCTGTTGCATAAGCTAGATTTCAGATGACAAACGCTGGAAGATCGTCCAGAGCCTTGTTGATCCGATGTGTTGACCACCATCTGAAAGAAAATGCTCTGGTATTCGACTAAAAAAGGGTCAAAGTGTCATGAACCCACATTTTTCAAGCCTGGCATCCTCAAAGTGCCAGTTTGCCTTCCATTTGATGATTGGTTTCCCAATGCGGGTCCAAGTTTTCTACACTATTTCAGTGAGTTTTGGGTGAAAAATTGTGTTACTTCAAAAAAAAATGCTCTACAGGTTCGAAGGGCACACTTGGCAGACACTACTGCTGCAATGCAATGGAAGACACTACTTACACAACGGAAGTTCATTGAAAGCGGCATACGAGGACATGTATTGTTTACAAAAATTATACTTCTTTTGCAGATCTTTCTTCATCGAAAATGACGAACCTAACTTCTTCGTGAACGACGATCACAAGTGCTACATCAATGTCTCATACTCGAAAATAAATGGAAGCGTTTTAGGGGTAACACTTGGTCACAACTGACTGTTACTTCGGGGTAATTGTAATACATAAAATATTGCTCTCACGGGAATCTAGCCGCCCACTAACTGATTTCATTGTTTCGCGAAGGTACCTTCCATTTATTCTTTTTTGGTGTTGTAGCACAAATCTGTGAGGTGCCCTTTAAGCGTTTGGGTAGAAAACTGGGCACAATCTTTTTCAAAGCCTTTGACTCATTCGGTGCACGCAAGACAACGATAGTGGCACTCAACCTCAAGGAGTCACTTCCGACTTCCTACCTAGAGGTAAACTGAAAATGTCGAATAAATAACAGGTTGATAACAACATAGAACAGAAAATAACATTGAACTAGAGTACAAGAATGAAGAATTCCACGGCTGACGTTCGTATTGTACATAATCTCGACACAAACGACGAGCTCCATCAATATGATACGAGAAAGAAGCCTGTGGCCTTGAAACTGCACAAAGACAAGAAAAACCGAAAAACTCTTCGCAACTTCTAATAGGTATCATTCGGCACGATAGCACTGCGACAGGAAAACTGGATGATTTCATCGTTGTAGATCGAAAGATACTGGAATGTCTCAGTTAAGGTTCCAGTTAATTTGCAAACATCTCCGAGTAACTTAGGAAAGTTGTCGACCGACGACAGTCGGAGCTTTCCTGATTCATTTAAATTCTACCTCCGCAACACTAGAAAAAATGACATGGGAACTCATAGTGTAAAGCTTCCGGCGCCATATTCAGCACCAAATGGCGATCAGTATAAAGTTAGCATGGAAGGGGGTTCAACAAAGGTTGCCGAAGGTAGTTGTGCAGGCGGTTCATATGGTACTATGACATGTTCATACTTCTCATTCGAGGCATGCCTATGCCAGAGATTTGAGAATCATTTGCAGAAGGCTCGGGGAGCATATGCTAGTGAAAATCCCTTATTAGGTCGTGAGTTCTTATCACCTACATACAGAACATTAGTTCTTCGAGCTTTATACGAGGGGGGTTGGGGTTCAGTGCATCTTCTGCAATTGCAAACGCCGTCTTCGGCAAGTGCAGTCATGCTGGAAAACTGCGTTGAGTCAAAGGATGAGATTGGCTCCTTGTTTACAAAGCAGTCTGATTCGTTGTGATTCATCAACCTCGGGCTTTGACCATTTCACCTTTATTTCGTTAAACAGGAACATAAGAAAGGCGGGTAAAAATGTCACGTGCACTATAAGTTACACACATTATGAGCTCCCATTCTGTAATGTCCCCGCGATCTATCACAAGTGGGAACGCACGGTCGAAAACTGCGGATAGCGGATCCAAAACGCAGTAGGTGAGAAGATTTGGTGGACATAAGCGAGGAACAATCTCAACAATTAATATTTTCGAATTAGGCAATGTGTTTTTCGTTGGTCCAAACCGCGCACACACACATAGTTCAATAGGATGCTCGCTGTTTTTGTCTAGCGCGATTACTTAGCTGCATCGGAAAGGCTTGAAGCTCATCATTTCTCTGGACTACGAATACCCATCGGTAGAACTTCGGAGGAATTGGAAGAATAACGACATCATCAGGTTCAGGAGAGACTAAGGGAGCTTCGAATTTATCAGTGATAACAAGCTCATTACCTACGTTGCCTAACAAAAGCCGTCGAAGTTGCAGGAGTTGTGATAGGGACTTACGTCAGCGGCATTCTCTGGATGCTATGTAAACGGCCTGGCATCCGATCCAATCTCAAAGAACTGCGAAAACAATTCAAGTCCTATTAAGATAACACAAGATCAACTTCCTTACAAACACTTTTCGAAGACGAACAGTTTCGAAAATAGAATCGGCTTACCTGGACATTATCTAAATCATTTCTAGAGAATTCATCAGAACTTCTGCTACGACCAAATGGATGTACTTATAAATAATCATATTTTTTATTTACATATTATGTATATAATATACATAAGCTTTTTCGAACTTTGTTGTGAGGCAATAGTGCAACTGCCAAGTTCCAGAGTTGGATCGAAGCCTATTTCATCCTACAAGTCCTTAGTCCATCCTTAGGCATAGCCTTGGTGTGCGCAGTACCCATTATTAGTTTGCCGAGAACCCATTTTGAAAGCCATAAGGAAGTCCTTTTGAAACGAAAAACTTTGGAACAAGAATCAAAAAAACCTTTATTCAGAAACTATCAAAAACTTCTGATCAGGAATAGGATAAGGGAGATAAACTGTGGGATACTTTTCCCTAAAATGCCATCAAAACACAGTTCGTGGGAGCATCTTGCAAGATTTCGTTTAACTTAAACACCATGGAATGTGCTTGAGGCATCTTTGGTCTCCCTTGCAAAGGAATTCGTACGTTGCCGTCTCTTCGGCTCAATCATCTCTGACGAAACTGAAATGTTTAACTGATTAACTGGCGCACCGTTCGTTCTCCCATGTCCCACGGTCCCCTAGACGATCAAAAACTGAATCGCTATTGATTCGAGGTTATGCGTCATTAGGTGCGACTATAAATGGCATGACAACCCATCAATCATCACCGACAGCTGACATGGAAGTCGAGTACCAGCATCGGTGCAAAGCCTACCGTTTTGTTGCGTACTCTGCCGTCGCCTTTTCTGTTGTTGCAATAATTGGTGCTGCCACAACCCTACCTATGGTTTACAACTATGTGCACCACGTACGACGCGTTATGCATTCTGAACTGAACTTCTGTAGGGTGAGCCAATTCACAGCAGTCTTCTCTTTTGTAAAAGATCCTCATCATATGATTGACCAAAGCTTGTTTAGTCTTCAGCCCAAGATATCTGGTCTGAGGTCAACACAATGAAAGTCGCTGGCAATCGCACGGCCCGTCAAGCCGGATATGGTAGCGATGGTGGAGTACTAGGAGATGGCAACACTGGAAGCATCGGAGGAGGAGGAGGCGGAGGGAACGATTGCACTCGCTGCTGCTCTGGCGGAGCTGCTGGACCACCCGGCCCACCAGGAAATGCAGGACGACCAGGAAACCCTGGAGCACCGGGTCCTCCAGGAAACCCAGGCCGACCACCTGTTCAGCCATGCGATAACCCACCAGCTCCTCCATGCAATCCTTGTCCCCCAGGACCACCCGGACCTCCAGGAACTCCTGGACAGCCCGGAGACCCTGGACGTGACGGAAATCCAGGTAATGCCGGCGCTCCGGGAGGCCCGGGCACACCGGGACCTAAGGGTCCGCCAGGACCCAACGGAAACCCTGGAAGCCCAGGAAGCCCTGGACAGCCTGGACAGCCCGCCACCTCCGTCCCAGCCTCGCCTGGAGCGCCAGGACCAGCAGGACCTCCCGGACCTCCTGGGCCACCCGGACCCAATGGACAACCTGGAAACCCAGGAGCACCTGGTATGTATGCAGTGTCTCAGAATGTGTTCATTTCTATTTGAATTCCACTGAATTTTTCTTTGCAGGTCAACCCGGACCCAAAGGACCACCTGGAGGCAATGGTCAACCCGGTTCACCAGGGAACCCAGGACCACCTGGAGACAGGGGAACCCCTGGAACTCCAGGAGAACGAGGAATCTGTCCCAAGTACTGTGCCCTCGATGGAGGAGTCTTCTTTGAGGACGGAACACGTCGCTAGTTGTTTCACTGAAAGAGATTGTCCTAATAAAAGGCTTTTTATGAGTAAAGAATCAATCACATGTAGATCGAGGATCGAGAAACGCTTACCACAAGTATCATCGGAACTGCACCACCTCATTCTTTTGCTAGATGTGTGGTGAGGCAGATAAAGAAGTGAAACGTAGCCGACTAGGAACAGGGAGTGTGATCGGACGACAGTCGCATTCACGCCTCACTGACGAATGTTTCCTCTTCAAGGGTAAGCGGAAAACTGTCTCAAATGAATTAAAGCTAGGTAACATTTGGGCCACGGATGAAGAAAAGCAGTGGGAATCGTGCAGCGAAACACACTTCGGAAATGTGCGCAAAGAGTCACAGCCACTATGAAGCTGAATAGGGACCTTGCGCGCCATTCACCTCCCTCAGAAGCTTGACGGTGCATTTTCCAACCGCATAGGTGCTTGATATTGAGGTTTATAGGCCAACGTTTTTGCGAATCCGCCATAGTCAGGACGTTGAAGGGTAGAATTAGAGTCGTAGAGCATTCAATAAATAATTACCTTGTACGGGAAGTATCTAAAAAAAACTTCACGTTCTTCCAGATTTCTCTCGGACTTCTCTGGAAGCTTCCTAACTGATACTGAGTTGGCAGAAAAATTCCGTGAGAAAAAAATTGGAAGAAAATTAAATTATAAATTTTGTCTTAGGAAGGGTGATGAAGTTCTAGGATATTCTCCGAGCAATTAACACTCGAGTTAACAAGGGCATGCATGTGGGCTCTTGCAATTTTACCATCAATGATTGGCAACACCGGATTCGTACCGTCCGAGGCATGTGGGTAACGGAACATCTCCCCGAATGCGGCAATCTCCCTTGCGGCATGCGGCAAATGTCATTGCAACTACCGTACTCACCCGGCCTCCCCGCCAGTCGATAGTACGCAAAATTTTTCGTTGACTGCCTTTCCTTTCTATTAGTTTTGATCGTTTTTTTTTTTTGCCCATTTCTTTTTCGTTTATGTTTATTAGACTTG